CCGATTCTGAGTAGCGCCACGCAAGCATTTCTCGAGAAGTTGCCTCTCAGTCAGCCGCAAGTACACAGGCTTGATAACTTTGAAGACTGCATCCGGCAGGCTCTTCTTATGTTGGTATTCAGGGCCACCAGCTTGATGACTCTGCCACTTGCACCAACTATCTGGTCCAGGAGGGCAGAACTGATGCTGCGGCTTGTCATCTGTTGAAACACAATGCACGACCGATGCCCATATCGCGCATGCCATGCCTTGCAGGTCATTGCCATGTCCACGTACGTTGGCAGTATACTGCTCCTTGCTGATCTCATGTTTGCTCAGCTTCCTCTGGAATATTGTGCACTGCTGGCAGTGCCGGGAGAGGACTTCGTAGTCGATGACTTTGCCAGTATCCCACGAGATGGCAAGAAACGCTCCATGTAGCGAGGTAAAGCCGCGTCGCATCCACGTTCCGTCGTAAGTGACGGCAATATCAGGGGAAGACGCCAACTCCTTGGCATTCGCAGCTGCACGCTCATGCTGCTGGTGGCAACAACTCTACTGGCCTTTGCTAGTACCTTGGTGTGCTTCTGGTATGCAGAGACATTCATGGGTGCAGGCATATTCATGACAGTGCAGAATTTCACAAGGGATGCCCGCGTCCTATCCATGTCATTGCAGTAGCCGGCTTTCTGTTCACATCCCAGCAGTGCCCAGTCTTCTTGGACATAGCTTCACGGCTTTCAGCCTCGCAGCTGTCACAGGCCAGCGATAGAGTTGAAGTCAAACCTTCACGACGCACTTCACATAGTGTAAGGGTGCCATGGCACGCTGAGCAACAGGCACTATCAGCAAGTAAATTTTGTAAACATTCTAAATAAATAATTCGGCTCCCGGTCGTCAGGTAATCATCACCGTCGCGCTCATCTCCAGAGCTGTTGCTGTCACTGTCACTAGATATCTCACTCTCACCAGAATTAGACTGTTGGACTTCGGCATCATCCCTATCTTCTGGCAACACAGAAGAGTCCTCTGCCACGACAATTTTCGTAATTTCACTCGACAATTTAAAATTATTTAGCACATTGATTTCCATGGAATTTGCGCTTCTTTGGACGACCAGGACGGCCTACGTACTGCCTCTTGCCCATAGTGATCAAGGAAGGTTCCACAAAACAGATGAAAGCCAACAAAGCAGCTAAACTGATAAAGAGCTACAGATTGGAGATTGGAGCTGACGGAGATTGCTGGTATAAAAATATTTACCAAAAATTTGAAGTACGACATGCGCACTGTGTGTGGTGATGCCGATGGTGATGTCAGCTCTGCGTGGGGTGCAGCAAGGTAAAACCAGGGAGATTTTCAGCCTTTCCCCGAAGTTTCATCGCTAAAATGCCAGCGAAATCAAAGTTACACGCAAAACATGTGTAATGTAAATTCTAATGCGTTAAAATTTGAATTTTTGAATTTACAATTACTATTTTTGACAATAGCGGCCTTTGAAAGTCCATATCTCAAAAACTACTGAAGCGATTCACTTCAAATTTTCGGGATGTGCGGTTGGGACCTACCCAGAGGGTCTGGAAGCAAAATGGGGTCAAAATCCAAAATTCGATTTTTGACCCTCTGAAAGGTGCCGGAAAGGTGTAGCGCCACCTTAAGCGGGATTCACAGAAGCTTTTTTGCGATGCGACACGCGATGCGACAGCCGCGAAACCGGGAAATCCCCAAATCGCAACCATCGCGGACCCCACGCAACTGCCGCAACAGGGCCATCGCAGGCCATCGCAGAAGTTGAGCTTGGCTCAACTTTTGCGATGCGATGCGATGCGACAAGCGATTTGGTGTACGATTTTGACCTTTTCTACAGCAAAGTTGTACAAAGGTGCAAGAGTTGCCTTGAAATTTTTACAAGTTGTGTCAAACCGCGCGAATATCATGGTGACGTACTCAAATCAGCAAAACTTTGTCGCATCGCTGACTTCTTCTGTGAATGGTATTTCGCGAGTTCGCATCGCACGCATCCATCGCAGATCGCGTCGCATCGCGTGTCGCATCGCAAAAAAGCTTCTGTGAATCCCGCTTTACGTCCGTGAACTTTTACGTCAAAAAGTGAAAAAACTCACGTAAAATTTGACGTGTTTTACGTGAGTTGACTGTCCCGCACGTAAGTTCATGACGTGAGTTTTTGGAAGTTTCGCTTGGTTATCCCGACCGAATTCGTGTGAGTTTCCGGAATTTTATCGAGATTTATCGAGTTTGTTGGAAGATTTGATATTTGTGCGAACTAACCCGAATCCTGCCAGGCAAAATTTCACGTCACGTCACACGTGTAACTTAACCTCTAAAAATTACACGTAACGTGAGATTTGCACCGCGTTTTGAAAAAGGGCAAAAAACGTGTAACTTAACCTCTCTATTCACGTAAAACACGTCAAATTATTATTTTTAGGTGAGATATTTTTTCAAAAGTTCCAAGCCTCTTGTACTTATTGTACGGGTTTCAGACATAAAGACAGTACGAGAACGCTAAAAATAAAAATAAAAAAAGCCTCTTGTACGGGCAAAATAAACACAAGTGCAAGGTCCGAGAGAAAATGAGCTGATATGGCTGTGAAAACAGTCTTATAGTATACGGAGGAAGCTATAATGGCTGTGAAAACAGTCCAATAAGGAGGGAGCTAAAATGGCTGTGAAGGCAGTCTTAAGCGGGATTCACAGAAGCTTTTTTGTGATGCGACACGCGATGCGACAGGCGCGAAACCGGGAAAACCCCAAATCGCAGCCATGTCGCGGCCCACGCAACTGCCGCAACTGGGCCATCGCAGAAGTTGAGCTTGGCTCAACTTTTGCGATGCGATGCGATGCGACAAGCGATTTGGTGTACGATTTTGACCTTTTCTACAGCAAAGTTGTACAAAGGTGCAAGAGTTGCCTATAAATTTTTAGAAGTTGTGTCAAACCGCGCGAATGTCATGGTGACGTACCCAAATCAGCAAAACTTTGTCGCATCGCTGACTTCTTCTGTGAATGGTATTTCGCGAGTTCGCATCGCACGCATCCATCGCAGATCGCGTCGCATCGCGTGTCGCATCGCAAAAAGCTTCTGTGAATCCCGCTAAATGCCTAGCAAGGCGAGCCTCAGCCTGGACGAGGTCGACAGGCGCCGCGCCAGGCACAAGGCTGACGTGGCGGCAGATTTTTTGAATTTTTGATGTAAAAGTAATTATTTCACGGACGTAAGAATTTTACGTGAAACCTGAGGCTCTGTTTGCGAACGCGAACGCGAATTTCGTCTTGCTATTAAATCCTCCGTAATTATTGTGACTGGATATCCCGGATGTAAATGTGTCTGTTTGTTTGCGTGGATTCTTGCTACCCGGTCCCCGGAACATCAACTAGCAAAGACCGGCAGCTGTACACTATACAGGTAGTAGACATCCTTAGCAAAAGTACGATAACGCTAACTTTTACGGTACTCACTCCCAGCCGTGACAAAAGACGTTATCGGATAACGGAAAAACGTTACAGAGCTCAAAATAACGGGCCGACGTTCGTTATGGAAATTCTGCAAAAAATGCAAAAACTCGCATTGTTTTGTAACTGGCGGGAGATAAAAAGCACGTCTAGTCGTGCAGATCGAGAGTCGAGATTGCTTCCTCTTGTGACATTTAGCTTTTTGGCGAGTTTTGCCTTTCAGTTGACAATTTCTGCTTCGTGCCTTTCTCCCTCTATCCCATCTGGGAAACAAAGGACCAGTTCCACGGCACTCCTGAGGAAGAAATTCATCGGCCTCTCCCAGACGTGCTGGAGCTGGAGAACCCTTACAGTCTTCGGTGCTGCGTTTAGGAAAGGGTTTCCAAGGACCTGGGAACAGCGAAAACTCATGTTCGCCGTGCTTTTGCTATTCCAGAGTAAAAGACCTCGCCAAGGTATTCTTTCGGAACGACAGCAAACTAATCCCTGGTTCAAAATTTTGAATTTCCCGCATCTGTTTCCACGAAAATTCATATCGCCATGGTTGTCACGACTACTTCGTCTCAACTATAACGTACTTTGTGCTTAGGGAAAGTCAGCTTGAACGATCCGAAGTACGGAAAGGTTTGCGTTTACGTTAGCGTTTTTTTAGCTAAGGATATCTAGTGTGAGTGTACTACGAAGTGCCATAAAGAGACCTGAAAATGTTGCCATGGTTGATTTTGATGCTTATTATGGTCACTACTCGTACACTATAGACATGATGGCCATATGGAGAGCTGAGCTCAGTGAGGATTTGTACTTCATTTCGCATATTCGCAATGCTTATGCAAGTTATGGCGACGGTGGTAGGATGGGCAGGCCCAAAGGGGCAACTATTACTTCTAGTAAAGTCAAGGCAACGTTTTTTCACGGTGATTGGTTTCCCGCATTATTATATCTTGACTAGTTCGAGGGAAAGACACAAACTCATAATAATATTATAATGGAAATATCGAGTGTAGCTAGAAGTACAACTATTTGAGAACGGTTAGAAAGAAGAAGAAGTGTATGCACTCTTGCTACTAATCAGTAGTCTCCTGAGAGAGTACACTATTGTAATTTTGTAGTTCAAAGTCTACATGACTTTGATTAGCTAGAGAAGCTCAGAAAGATATCGCTGACCCTGGAGCGCCCGTCGCGTCGTGTCTGCGGATTGACACCGCATTATTTGTGTGGCTCAGATCATCAATGGACGGATACTGACAAGGGGAGGGTCCGATTTGACGGACGGTGGTACGCGTGGTAGATCTACATGTACGTGCTAAACGATGGTCATTGATTGTAAAAAATATCTCACCTACACTTAGGCTACAGACTAGTAGTACGGTACTAGAGGACAGCTGTGCGCCATGCATGCGCGTGTAGTACACGTGTATTGATTTGTCTTTGTTTGAAATGACCAGAGCCTGGAGCCTGTGTACATGGTGTAGGCAGAAGTGCAAACGTAAACGCCGTCATCCCCGCATCACAGGCTCACAGCCAGCCAGGCCTGAATGCCACTGCACTGCCAACACTTCTGAAGTAATAGTTCTGTGAATGAGTGTACTTCCGACAGTTCGAGTTCGACGCTTTGGCCGTCCTGGGACTGGGCCGTCTACATTGCACTGTGAGTGTGAGATCGAGAGCGTAGCGCGAGCGGCGTTTTATCCTGTATTTTCCGTCTTGCCTCTTCGAGCTCCGTCCAGTCGATAAAATTCTTTTTCCAGTTCAACGGGCCAGTGGCTACTGAGCCGAGAATCACACACAAATAGCAACACTTGATGTCGTGTGCGGCGGCGTTGTGCCGAAGTGACTCTCCTGCGCTGCAGCTGTATCTGTTGGCCTAGCATCATCCCTATCTTGATTTGTGTTGCTGCTGCTGCGGCTGCTGCTGCTGGTGCTGCTGCTGGGCGATCGGCAATGATCTGCCATTGATTCACTCAAGGCGCTGTTGCAAGAAGCAACGAACGCTCTCGTCGCACCTGGTCTGCAGGAGAAGCTCTGAGATATTGTGTGCTGACAGTGGTTTCTGTCATCGTGGTTCGCAACGAACTTGCTATTCTATATTCCATGACAGTGGAGAATACCAGAAACCTGCCTTTGACGCCGCTGGGCTTTCTGGAGCTGTCGGTGTCCAAAATTAACTGACTTTTGCGTTTCGTAGTGCGCAAGAGCCCACCATGATGTCGTCGCTGATGCACCTGTCCATGGCAGTGCTCTCCCTTCTCCTCGCCACAGTACGGTGTCAACAACTTCAAGCAGGTAGGGAACATTGCTAATCGTTACATTTTCTGAACATAGTCAGTAGATTTGCGTTCTGGGTTTGATTTTTGCTCGACCTGCCTGCATGATTGTACAAACGAATGTCACTAGTGCACTGACTAATGCTCGCTATTTTGTGAAATGGTATTAAAATACGTGCCTCCCAAATCGCGGTTGGTGGATAATTTGACCGTTTCACGCGACTGTATCGCTCTAGTGAAGAACCCCATTCTAAACTGCGGCGGGATGCTCAGGAGCTGTCAGCACACAGCGAAAACACTCTGTAGGCTGTATCTTGCTATCGACTCATTTGTGCTCTTGTCGTACGGTGGCAGAGCAGTGAAACCGGCGTGCATTGACGGTAATACTCGTTGACTTTATGTGCCCATATCTGAACCACATATCTGTGACGTCCTAGATGTAGTTAGATAGTAGTACTAGTACTGCAGACTCGTTGACACAACTGCTTCCTGAGTTGAAATGACAGCAGCAGGATACTGAGATAGGAACTGAGCGCACAAGGCAACCAACTGAGAACACAATGACAATGTCATGTAAAACTGTACTGTATGTTAGGGCTAGTGCATAACTCTGGGGATACCAGTACCGTACTTCCGCATATATAAGCGCATGTGCTTGTGCCAAGCGCATGTGCTTATGTCCGGACATAAGCGCACCCCCCAATTATAAGCGCATGCGCTTATATGTGAACACTATTGGTGAAACACCCAGGAGCTGAATATACATGTACTGCTAAGCATTGTGATAACATAGTTGTTTAGAACACAAACAAACCTTTGTGACACATATAAGCACATGGGCTTCTACGCGAACATGTTCACACAGCAAAACATCTTTTTTGCAGCAAATTTTCACTTATAAGCCCATGCGCTTATATGTGGGGAAATACAGTATGTTAGTAATACAGTGTACAGGGAATCCTGATAATTCGAACCCCGAATTGCAGAGGAAAAAGTTCTAATTATCCAAACATGCACCATACCCAGGGAGTCGTCAAAATTTAAAGGGGAAGTTAAGGCAAAAATCAAAATTTCACCAGTGGTAGTCTTCGGGGTGCTGAGTCCAATGGTCGTGGTCCCAGGAAGCTGAGACGCTCCCTTCCTACTTGAATCCCAATCGAACTCGCGCACTTCCACCGAAACTGGGTGACTGCGCCCTACTAGATGGGGATTTGTATGCAAAATGTCACTAAAAGCGCCATTTCGTTCTTATAAAAGCACGGATGACCGCGATTGGCCCATAATTATGTTGTAGTCTTTTGGACGCTGAGTCGATTGGTTTTGGTCCGAAAAGGCTGCGATGCAGCGTTCCTCCTTTATTCCCAATCGAACATGGTTGAAGAAGCGGTCACGTGCTCCTGCGTACACCAGTCACCTGGTCACCGTGCCTGCAGGGTACAACTTACTAGCCTGTTTGACCTTTTTTGGGTGCAGTCCTGTCACTCGAGTTGAACCTTGGTGTGAAAGTTGTCGCCTGCTGGCGTGGTGACCAGGTGATTTGGGCACCCAGGAGCACGTGACCGCTTGTTCAACCATGTTCGATTGGGAATAAAGGAGGAACGCTGCATCGCAGCCTTTTCGGACCAAAACCAGTCGACTCAGCGTCCAAAAGACTACAACATATGGGCCAATCGCGGTCATCCGTGCTTTTATAAGAACGAAATGGCGCTGTTAGTGACATTTTGCATACAAATCCCCATCTAGTAGGGCGCAGTCACCCAGTTTCGGTGGAAGTGTGCGAGTTCGATTGGGATTCAAGTAGGAAAGGAGCGGCTCAGCTTCCTCGGACCACGACCATTCGACTCAGCACCCCGAAGACTACAACTGGTGAAATTTTAATTTTTGCCTTAGCTTCCCCTTTAATGTTTGACGACTCCCTGACCGTACCCATAACACATTATGCATGTCAGAATGCTCACATTCATTCGGTGCCACGTAGAGTTGTGGTGACGATGCACCATAGACACAGATTTCTGTGCATGCACTCTGAACGGGCCAGTACAACAGTTTCACACTGGACTTCGAAGTGTGTAAAGTGTATTTCGTGGGATAGATCGAGGTTCGAGTTATCAAACGCTGTTCTGTGGGAATCCTATCGATTGAAATCTGTCCTCGAACGGAACGTTCTAATTTAAAAGCGGTGCATGTATTTTCTAATTTTATAGCCATATTCAAATTAATACGATTCCACCTGATTTCCATCTGATACTAGTACTGCACTTGTGTTTTTTTCAATGATCTAGTATCAAACCATTTTCAGAACAGTACTGTGTTGACAGAGTACTGAGAAGCAGCACCCAGGTTTTTTTTTCACGAAATACAGATATTTCACGGTTCATTTGACTATCGTCATAAAAAGGCCGCACCGGTTTCTTTGGGTTAATTTCGAGTGCTTGATTAAGGTGCGGCTTAGGGGTCGTCGCACGAGTTTTCTGTCGTCCCTGAAACAAACATCGTTGACTTCGTACTCGGACAACCTCTCCTCCCTCTGAAACGAACACAGCTTGCTATGCTGGACGACGAAAATCGCATTCATGTACATGACATATGTACAGTGTCGGTCGACTTGCGATTTTGGCTCGCACCACCTCCTCCTCCCCCCCCCCCCCCCCCCCAACGAATCATGTTCGTTTCAGGGACGACAAAAAACTTTTGCGATAACCCCTTACACTCCGGAAAATACGGTACACCCGGTATAAATGCATAAAACTGAACGCATCAAGAATTTTGTGAAACCTTGACTCAAAGTGATAGGAGTATTGTCCAACTGGTGTCTGGATATTGTGTAGTATTTTGTACTTTAAAAGTACACATATCTTAAGCAGATCAATGTGTGCAATCTCTCACGAGCCCGTCATTTCAAGGGTCTCCCAGGGGCACCAGTTACCATGAATGTGGGCTTCAGGATGGTTGGTTGGCTGCTGATGTGTTTGTGTGCGCATTGTACAACCATCCCAGATTTCTACTATGGCACGACTGTGGTGGACATCAACACGAAACTTGTTAATGGCAGCTTCTTGGACTTGAACGCCTTGTCGCGACCAGTGCTGGCGTGTAAGACCAGCGTGGCGAGTACTAATCTGCACATGACGCATAACACTGCGCGAGTAACTGCCGTTTCAGGCCGGTTAGGTATACCCAATGGAGGTGACACCTTGTTTATAGTGGCGTTTGAGAACGTCACTGGAGCGGACGGTGGTCAGTATGCATGTCACGTGAATAACGTCAGAACAGCCGTCATCAATCTGAGAGGTGTGTAGTCGCGGCGCTGTTGTTATCCCTGCGTGCTGGTGTTGGGTTAAGGGTGCGGCTTGGTCACATGCGGTGTGAGAGTGTGCACACACATGTGTACATGCATGGTACATGTGTGTGTGTGTGTGTGTGTGTGTGTGCGTGCGTGCGCGTGTGTGTGCGTGTGTGCATGTGCGTGTGTGTGCGTGTGTGTGCGTGTGTGTGTGTGTGTGTGTGTGTGTGCGCAGTGTGGGGTGCGCATCTGTATGTATCATCCTCGTAGCTTTCTCTCCTTGCATGATAATAGAATTCGCACGCAAGCAGAGAGAGACACACACATACCACACACACACACACACACACACACACACACACACACACACACACACACACACACACACACACACACACACACACACACACACACACACACACACACACACACACACACACACACACACGCCACACCACATACCCCGGCATACACTGGCTGTTGGTAACCACCCAGGAGAATGAAAGAAGAGCTAGGAGAATGAGAAAGAGAAGAAAGATGTGTGCGACCATAATTGTCGGGAATTGAACCCGCAACCTCTCGATTGGAAATCGACTGCTCATACCACTGCACCATATGGGACACACACACACACACACATACACCATTGGACCATTGGACGCCCATCGCCGGAGGCGATGATAGCGATGCTACAGCAGAACCCATGGCACCTTGTGCTGGAATTGACCGCCACTATTCAGCCTGGTCTACACCACATACACACACACACACACACACACACACACACACACACACACACACACACACACACACATACACCACACACACGCACGCACACACGCACACATACACATACACACACACATGCATTGCATTACAATCCTACTGTTTGGGTGGGTTTAAGTCAGGATCATACTGTTGAGAGTGAACGGCCATGTCTGTATGCGTCTCGCTCTCTCTCTCTCTCTCTCTAAAGACGCTTGTCATCATTTGTCATCTTTTCTGTTCATCTTTCCTTACCTTCTGATGCTGTAGTGAAACCGTTTGTCAGAGTATTCCCCAATGATCTGATACTCAACACTACATCCGCAGGACGTTTGACCTGCGTTTCCGAAGGCTATCCACCACCGGTTCAGCAATGGCGAATACCTTTCGTCACGGTAGATCGTCCAGTAAGTTACAATCCCATCTTCATTGACGGGGATAAGGAACTTGTGTTTCTGATTCACCGCCGTGTATGTGAGCATTCCAGCCACCTCCCATCCACGTCAAAATGCTGCTGCCTTGGCCTATAATTAATTTATGCCCGACTTGATAGCTTACCGGTCCTAGTATGCAGATACTGGTCCTGCAGAAAGAACATAACATGTTATCAGTCCTGGAGATGTCCTAGATAGGACATCACGGAACCCAGCATGCCCCAGCATACATACTATGCTGTTCCCATAGTAATCGTGACACGTGACTCAAAACTTCGTGTCGCGGCCGAGGAAGATGAACATGTCTCACTCAAAACAAACGCAACGAAGGCCTTTCGTCTCAAAAGTAATAATTAGTTGTCGTTCTCCTGGCGGCTTGCCTCAAGCGAGTCGAGATTCGTATCTTGCCTCTTGCCTTCACGAATTTTATTTTCCTCGTTGTGGAGTACGCCTGGACAAAGGAACTGGCAAGCGAATCGTTTCGGTCGCATTGAAAATTGCAAGTGCACAAGAGGGTTGGCGAAGCAATTAATTTGTGTTCGCACTTTCAGCAGAGCAGTAGCTGCTGCTGCGATAAAGTTTTTACTTTCGCCACTGGTTTCAGGCAGCAGAAGGATCTGGCTGAAAGCGATGGCGATACGTCCATGACCACCACGTCCTGGGTTGATATCCAAGAAAGACCGTCCAAGGTCCAGTTTTAGCCAAGAGCTGTCGTATCCAAGAAATCAAAAACGCCAATAGCAAGCTTTGGCCAAATAATATCTTCCAGGCAGTGATTTACGGGCCTAGCGCCTGCTGCCTCGTCGTCCTCCTCTGCATGGCCAGGTTTGGGGCGAAACGAACGCACGGGGCGTGAAGAAACATTCCAAAGGCAAAACATTCAAATAATTAGAAGCAATCGTTTCCGAAGAAGCGCCGCGTGGCTACGAGAAACCCCACATGAAATCCCCAAACGAAAACGGCCATTCGGTCGGTTATTCGATGGGGAATCGAATATACACTACCTCAATCCCCGCCGATGTCTGATATTCTCCGCCTATTCCCTCAAACTTGACCAATTCGGAAAGAAATCCATCGCCATTACGATCATGCATCCTCCACATACATTCAGAAATGCTCACGCAGCACTTCTTTTCATCGCGTGTGCGCGACCGACGCTTCCATGACAACTCTGGGACAGGTAACCAATCAGACTCATTCAGAGTGCGATGTCCTAGATAGGACATCTCCCCGACTGGTTATGTGCATGGCAGAATTTGTCGGCGGGCTTTCCCGGCTTTCCTGTCTGCGGGCATTGTCCTTGTTTGCCAACTGCATACCATGCACTACTAACGTTCCGATGAATGTGTGTCGGCCGTCAGCTGCAACGTTTCCTGTCACCGTTTCTACAGCTGTTGGTTCCTTGCCATGTAAACTGTTTTTGTACCCGCTGCTTTTCTTTCGCCGATAATGTCGGAAATGAAACTGGCACGGTTAAGAGCTTGTTTCCACTATATCCGGTATAACAGTGTTGCAATGCGATAGCAACTCTATGGGCCAAACGAATGCATGTTTTATTGCTCTGCTGCATGTGTGCTGCAAGTCTTTCAGGAGCAATTGTAGCAACTCGTCGGAGAATTAGAATAGTGAAACACATGCTTCCCCCCCTCCCCCCCCCCCCCTCCTTGCTCCAGCCTGTGACCGGGCATAGAAAAGAAAACGGAGAAAATGTTCCGGATTCGAAACTGATTACATTGCTTTGTGTGTGTGTGTGTGTGTGTGTGTGTGTGTGTGTTTGTGCGTGTGTGTTTGTGCGTGTGTGTTTGTGCGTGTGTGTGTTTGTGCGTGTGTGTTTGTGTGTGTGTGTGTGTATGTGCCAGCTAGTTCGGTTGGTGGGTACACTTATACCTGATTGTGTTGGGTCTGTTGCCAACAGGCTCGGCTGCTTGAAGGTGTATTGTTGTACCTACCACCTTTGTTGGTTTCAGGGTTCATATACTTTCTATTTGAAGTACAGGGGCGTAGGAAGCAGTTTAATATTGGTGCGGCGAAATTGTGAGAGGGGGTCCGGGGGTCCTCCCGCGGGATTTTTTTAAAAATTTGGGCCTAAAAGGCCATATTTTAACCCATTGACGGCTGAGCCCGAATATATTCGGGATTCAGAAAGACGTCAGGACGCTGAGCCCGAATATACTCGGGCTGACAGGCTATCCTACCGTACTAAGCTTCGTGTTCCAGCGTAGGGTTGAAGGAGACCCCAGAGTCGAGCGGTACATTTCCTGCATTCAGTACGAGGGGCTGCGGGTATGAATCCCGCTTGAATACTTTTTTCTTCTTTTTCGTCTGGTGATTCAACTCAAATTGGCGACTTTTTCGTATTTTACGCAATTTGGATGAACTTACTTGTCATATAGCACTTTGTTCCCCTTTCTGGGAACTATATCGAGTTCGTCAGCATGATGATTATAGCCTTGGTCAACATTTCACCAGAGTTCAACAACCTAGTTGCTTAGACTATGAAGTTGTGGAGCTTTACATTGGCCCTATTTTTAGCATTTTCTTCAGAGCCTCAGATGAAAGGCCCTGTAGCCCTCAATGGGTTAATGCTACAGAATAATATGAGAAATAAGAATATGCATGCTGATGATACACCGCATTGCCGATGTAAAACATGGTACCTGTACAAGAGTCGACAAGCCATCAACAATGTTGAAATGTAAAAAATAAATAAATAAATAAATTCGAAAATTATTGGTCCGGCGACCGCCGGGCCTGCCGGACCGGTTCCTACACCCATGAAGTATACATACCTGTTAACCATGGACTGCTTCTGGCTAGATTAACTCTTGTGTAATCAATGGTGCTAGTGAAGCTTATATCAGATACACTCTGATTTAGCCACCCACACTAGTAGCAAGTACAGTTGTCCCTCTCTAATCCGGCACTTGTTTATCCGGAACCCTTGCCAACCGGCGCACTTTCTGACGAAACCGATTTTTTCGTTCAATTCCTACATCTTAATCCGGCATTTGAATTCCGCCTCCGGCAGTGACTTTTTGAAACGAATCACTCAAACTGCACGTAGTTTGATTTCATAATCCGGCAGTCGTAAATCGCGTACCGTACAGGTGCACTCCTTGCCAGGCCACGCTACTCTTCAGAGTTCAGTTCAGTTGACAACTGTACTCGACCTCGCGCGGGAGAGTTCAGTTCGGTTGGTTGTTAGGACTTTTCCGAACCCTAACTCAATTTATACAAAGAGAACGACCAAGGAACTACAAGTAAGTTACGCTACACTGTCCACCAAGAGTACATGAAAACCGGTTTTCATGTACTCTTGTGTCCATTAACACCACCAGTTACTAAACAATCAGCTCATGCGATAACATTGCACGACACTGACCAACTCTACTGACGTTCTACAACTAACTACAACGTTCGACCTGCATGATGTCGACTGCTTGCGTGGCCTTCTCAAGAGGGTCAATGTTGTCCAGGAGACAACGGCTAAGCAGTCAACCATACTTTCTTATTTTAGCAAGGAGTAGTGTCCTGCCAATTTTCAGGTGTGTGTGTGTGCAAGAGTACATGTGAACATGTTCTCTGTTTTACTTTATCACTTTATCACTGTGTATATTCCTGGAGAACAGTTGAGAATATAAAGCCGTGCACCAAATACTTGGGTCGACACGGAAAAACCCTGCGTTTTGACATATGATACATGCATGCAATTGGGTAGGGCCGGGTCAGAGGGCAGGATTTCTTAATCCAGCACCCTCGTTAATCCAGCAGAAAACGCCGTAGCAAAAGGTGCCGGATTAGAGAGGGACGACTGTATTACCTTCACTGGGGGCAGGGGTAACTGCAGTTGGATCCCCGGACGGATACCCTGATGCCGTCAATCCTTTTTCTGCACCTTGTCCTCACCCACTTACTGAGGTGTGGTGAGCCCATAAGTGGGATCATTTCAAGTCCACCCTAGTTTGGGGATTTCAGGGGTGTCGGCCGTTGGACGGTTCAATGGCCAATTGAGTCATCTTTCCAAGATTCCTTTTGAGTCTCTCTCCCCTCTCCCGGGGAGACCCACGTGACCAGTTTTGTCAGGGAGCAAGTACAAGTGTGTGTGTGTGTGTGTGTGTGTGTGTGTGTGCGTGTGTGTGTGCGTGTGCGTGCATGTGTGTGCGTGTGGACATGGCGGTACCGTTTTTCTTTCTTTTTGTCACTCTGCTGTCTCTTTGCCGTCTTTTACATTTTTGTATTCTTTCTCCTGTTTGCATTGCAGGACTTCAATTTTTACCATGAACTACCCGGCTTTCGGAGAATCAACTGCACAGCCTCCAATGCTGCTGGTTCAACGACAGTTGTTGCAAGATTCTTGTCCTATTGTAAGACCCAGGGTGTAGTTAGCTGCTTTTCACTCTCGAACCTCAATACAGTCGAATGTCACTTATCCGACCACTTCGGGAATCAGGCATGTTGGATAACTGGATATGTTGGATAACTGATATCATTAATTTTTTAATGTGCAGATATGGCTGGATTTCACTGATTTATGTACACAATACCCAAAAACATTCATGCATATTCATGAATTGCTCCATGTACACATACATGTTAGCATACTTGACCACATCTACTTCAAGTAAATGCATATTACACCGTATAATATACAATTTTTTTTGAATTTTACTGTTGAGAGTCATAAAATTACCACTCCCGGGCTTGTCGGATAACTGACGTGCTCGGATAACTGGCGACCGGATAAGTGATATTCGACTGTTTATATGTAAGCATATCCACAACAACGATATCGCCATGTTCTAAAAGATGGTTTCGTCAGGTGTGTTTTTGCCAACATTCTTCAAACATGGATACAGCTGTTGGAGAGCCTTCAATTTCTTTTCTGCGAGGCCTTTCATGAGTGCTACTAAATGCACACCATTTTAAGTGTCCCCCATGCGATTATCATTTCTGGGGTATATGCACGTCAGATCAACTTAGAACAGAGAGAATATAACGTGTCATTTGTATGGCTATTCTAAACCGTTTTCTTGTGATGCCTGCCGTATGGTTTGTGCTCGCAGCGCCGTTAACACCGATTGTGCCGTACCCACCCACTGTCAACGTTCCCTACCGACGCCACTTCGTACTGCCCTGTGAGGTGACAGGCTACCCCACTCCCCTGGTCTATAGCTGGTTCGAGGTCAGCCCGGACATGTCCACCACGCCAGTGGCGAGCAGCCTCATACTTGCTAACAACAGCTTGTCGCTGACGCCGGCCCAGACCTCTCTTCCGAAGACCTACCGTTGTATGGTGCGCAGCATGCTGCCGTGGGACCCAAGCACGGATGCCCAAGCACCGCTCGCCATTGACCGCACAACAAACCCTGTGTGTGAGTAGAACAACATGTTTAGTGAGTAGCTTATTTTTTAAACAGGCGATGCGGAAACCATAATCTTTAGAAAGTAATAAATACACACGTGTGCGCACTCACATCACAATCATGGCAACTAATGAAGGGTTCCAGAACGTTTTCTGGTCACAATTATCAGTGGAGTTCGTGCCTGAAGGGAATGCTGAAACTACAATACCGGTAGGATTTATACACTTGGAATGAAAACACGAGAATGCAAGATGAGTAAGAAACTAGGACGTACTTCGAAAATAATATAATATAATTATATTGCACAGTTGAGACGTGTTAGGAAATTCAGCAAGATAGCAAGGTATACTGTCAGGTGCGGTGTGACTGTGTGTATTTGTATTTGTATTGTGAGTGTGAATTTACTGGAAGAGTGAATTCGCACCTGCACATGCATGATTTCTCTGTGGCATAATTCTCTGCATGGCCTAACTCTGCGGCTCCGAGGCTACCAGATTATGTGATGTGTAGAGTTTACTGTGCTTTTGAAATTCGAAAACAAAAGCTTGTCAGAGATGATGTATGGGCGTGATAATGTTGATCTTTCTCCTTCACGCATACAGCTGCACCGCTGATCACCCAGTATATTGACATAGTAACTGCATTGACACCGTTTGTGACGGTGCGGTGCTTCACGACCGGTGCACCAGCTCCACGGGTGACGCTGCTGCGCAACGACCAGGAAGTCGTCAAAGTCACTGGTCCGCCCGGTGGTTTCAGCATCTCAATACTGAATTCAGAAACCACCACCAGTGTGCTCCAAGTGACCCAACGCACCGCTCAGTACTCTATGGCCTCGGCAGAGCGAGCATCAGGTATCTACACATGTATTGCAAACAACTCTATTGGCGAAGCAGCGATGAGAGCAATCGAAGTAACTGTCACAGGTACGTGTGCAAAGCACCCGGCATAGGTAGTCATCCACTGCCGTGCATTTGTCGTAAATGAACTTTATCACTCCCTTAGTATTGACTCGCATAGAGTTTTACTTTACCTAAGCAGTCAAATATTCCTGCATATTTCACTCCTTAGGGCTATATTGACCGCTTATATTTGACTCCTTTTTAGCGATTGAACACATGCTTCGGTTAGTCGTGATAAATCTAATATTGACTTCGTACTTGGTCAGTGTAGGAAATAGAAGACCTCGGCTTCGCCTCGGTCTTTTACTCGGCTTTTATTTCCTATATTGACCTCGTACTCACTCAATATTAGATACATATACACAGCTTGTGTGAGAGCCGGTCAAACACATAGACATGCACATGTCATGTACACACACACACGTGCACACACACACACTTGCACACACACGTGCACACACACGTGCACACACACACACACACACACACACACACACACACACACACACACACACACACAGTTTGCATTCTCCACCAGAAAGCTGAATACTGTACCTTTGTTACATGTATAAATAGCTACACATAGTGAAACTACGACTGTATAGACACCGGCGTTATGCCAGTGCATGCCGCGTATAGTCTTTACTATACAAACAGTCTGCTGCTCAATGGGACATTGATAGGGTACGATTGTCATGGTGTGAGGTACTGAGTGCGGCTGGGTTATTGAATACCAGGACGGTGTGTAGTAGGATTAATTTTGGAAAGTAAATTAGTTACATGTCCTCTGCGATTCGTGGTCGGTGGTTCTCCTCTTAGTTACGCCAAGAACTGATCATCGGCTGATTCCAAAGTGTTGATGGGGACAATGGTTTCTCCGCGCCTGAGCAACTATTCGTATTAATATTAGTATTGTGTTCGTTTCTGTTCAGATCCACTTCAGTTCCGGGAGCAGCCGACTAGCTCTAACACACTCGTCGGTCAGACGTTGTCGCTGGTTTGCAATACTACTGGATACCCACCGGCCGTGTATACCTGGTTCCACAACAGTACTCTGATGCCAGGAGCCACTGGATCCTTGCTGACTGTGCCTAGCGCCGGCATCAGCAGCTCTGGAACGTATTACTGTACAGCTCTATCGACGTCCGAGTACTCTTCCAAGACGTTTGGCTCAGTGTTGACGTCCACTACGGCCAATGTTGCTGTGATGCGTAAGTGCTCTCCTGGTTACTACTTCACACGCACGCATATCATTACGAGATGGGAAGCCCATCGTTTCTTCTCCAGTTTGACCGGGTATTTCATGGATGTGGCCTGGAAGCAATTGGTCGGGAGTTTCAGTGAAAAATGGTCATCTTGGGAGACATCCAGTACGTCTTTGATAAAGTGTTTGTTGCACTTCAAAGTATTGATGTACATATGCGGCTAATGGTTTCAGCGTTGTAAAATCCAGTTAATTTGAACCTCAAATTTCCAGGCTCCAACTTTGAGTTAACAAGATCTTTTATCATCTCAATGCAAGCCCATGTGCTGATCTACGTGTCCGAAATGATTGAAGTAGCATTCTGTCTCTCACTTACCTCCCCGTCCCCAATCTTTCACTTTGGGCAGGGTATGTAAAATGATGTGTGGATATGCCGGAATAAAGGTGCATAAGTGAATCCATACACCTCCCTACAGTACTCAAGTGCTGCCAAACCGTCCGATTTTTCCTACAATGTCCGATTTTTGAAGGCTCTTCCGAAAATCGGTCCGAAAAAGGGAACGTCCGAAAAGCAGCCAAAAATGTCAGGGATTCGTACTTTCCTATGCAGAAGTCCTGTATTTTCACTTTTCAGCGCAACTGAAGGCACAAATCACAGTACCTGTACAGTAAAAAGGCTAGCGCTTACTCATGCATTACAAAATTCATGACAACTTCGGGGGTGCCATATCGGTTACCATGGCAACGGAGCGAATTTTCATGGTATTTTGGGCGTTATTTTGAATTCCTTGGGAAAAAAATTGCTGAGGAGAAAAATTCGCACCATGTGGCCAGCCTTGGCGGTGAACATGGTGCAGGGTGTCCGATTTTGGGCGAAAATTATTTTGGCAGCACTGGTACTCTCACATGGACATGCCGACAGTGCAGGTCCACGGATATGTGCAGTCAAGTGCAACTAACGAGTACATAAATTACAACTCAACGGATCACTGGCATCTGGCATTTCAAGTCTATTCTGTGTGTTGTGTTGGCTTGCAGTTCCCGCCCGAGTCACTGGCCTCACTGCCAATCCGACTGTGATGGTAGAACTTGGGGGCTCCGTCAACATCACTTGTAACGCTGAAGGTCACCCGCCCCCGACCATATCTTTCCTGATGAACAATGCAACCATCGCGCCATCCTCTACATACCTTATTACTCAAATATCAACGTTCTCGCAGACCTTAAGCATCATGTCGGCGGGCATACCGCAGCAGGGTGTTTACGCGTGCAATGCCAGCAACGTGGCTGGCTCGGATGCAAGAGCTGTTGAGATCAGCGTGCCAAGTAAGTCACCGTTTGCCTCGGTCATCAGGTGTGCACTGGCTGGTGTGTGGTCAGGCATGCGTGGGTTATTGTGTGCCTAGTACTGTACACGCAGAAAGATTCGTCATTTTCATCCAAAGGACTTTTGAACTAAATTTAATGCAGGACTAAATGTCGATTTGTGTGGCCTTTCACTACGTTTCAACATCCATGGACGAAAATTTCCACCAGACAGCCTGTCTTTCTTTGCCGTTGAACGAAATCATTCATGAAGTGTCTTTGTTAGAATAAATTTCAATTCACTCCCCGGTACTCTTTATCTACTAGCAAAAGTACATAACCCCAAGAGTGTGCAACTCCACTATGGGTGCTGTCTCGACTGAATTTCAAGTTGACTTCATTTTTATGATGCAATGCGCACTGCACACGGATTATCAGACGAATCCGGAACCGGTGGTGGACCAACGCCAATCTGATCCCGTACAAAATATTGCAAAGAAAAACGTGTGATGTGTTGACACTCGTACACATGTTGTAAATCACGGGTGCAAGGAGCATTGCGTCATAAATAATGACGTCAACTTGAAATTCTGTCGGGACAGCAGGGTGTGTGGGAGTTGCACATTCTTGGGGGGTTATGTCCTCTTGATACTAGCAAGAGGACATAACCCCGGGGTTATGGACTCTTGATACTAGTAATGCAGTATGTGGTACACATCATCATACACTTCTCCACACACATCGCCATACTTATACACATCCTCATACAATGTGGCTATACACCTAGCCATACACATCACAGTACACATGATCACACACATTGTCATACACATCACCATACACATCACCATACACATCACCATACACAGGTGGGAGTGATACGAGCATTTTGCCACTCAGCTAGCTCCCATATAAGGCGGATATGACATCATTGCATATCCTCTATTCTTTCTACAAAACGTAACTCTTTCTTTCCTAACTCTGCCCACTCGCAGGGAAGCCGGAATTCGTGTTGCCTATTCCGCACCTGCATGCCGTTCCCCTTGGTGGTGTTTTGAGTCTGCTCTGCAATGTATCTGGCCATCCCCGGCCCAATGTGACGTGGCTACACTCCGGACGAATACTATCACAGCAGATTGGTTCCTCCACTCTCCGTATTTCCCCCGTGAGCGGAGATAACGCCGGTGTGTACACATGTCGTGCAAGTAACCCCTCCGGCACCGCGTCCAATTCCACAATAGTCGATGTTCAAGGTACGTTAACATCGCCGAGTCACATGCACACTGTGAAGACGATTTCGCTATGTATTCCTGCTGTTGTTGGTACTTGTTATTCTCTACTGAGTGTGTGTACTTCAATCAATTCCCTTGTGTCTGTGGGTCACTACCCAAGGCATCAACTGTAAACATAAAAGAAGAGGACGTTTAGAATGTTATTAATGCAACCCTGAGTGCATGTCATCTATTCATGCTTTGTATTTCGGCAGAGGCTCCAGTCATCACTACTGCGCTGGAGGACGTTGCAGTGCAGCTCGAGGGAGCAGCACGGCGGACATGTGTGTGCCGGGGAGAGCCGCAACCGACTCTTCAGTGGTATCACAACGGCGTACTGGTGCAGTCTAATCCAAGCGTCGAGATTCAGACTGACACTAGTGTAGAGGATACTGTCTCCAGCACGCTGACGGTGCTGAGAGTCACGGCAGCAGACTATGGTCATGTACGGTGTACCTTTACGAACCGATGGGGTATGGCAACGTCGAATGCGTCCCTGCAGAGACTTTGTAAGTATTGTACGGGCCAAAACCATGGTTGCTGAATTTTAAAGATGTTTTTGATAGTGAGCAAAATGCCCAACGTTTTCGTTCCCTTCTCTATAGGGCTATACAGGGAATGATGGAGTAATTCAAGAATACTCAGTAATTTTGCACGTTCGGATCGTCCTGCTGCTTGGTTCTGCTGCCGTCGTTGCAGGCGCGACTTGACGTTGACAAATTTATACACGCCTCGAAAGATTTGTCGACATGTTTTTGATAGTTCTGCTATTGTGGGTTGCCCTCAAGACCTTTGTTAGCAATAGGCGTGAATGTATGCTTTAAAAGGTTTAAACTATCGTAGTCGCTGAGTGCAACTGCTGAGTGTTCTGGCTGAGGATCGATGTGCGTATTGTCCAGCGACGTCATCCTTGTCCCGTGATAGCCGTAGCCCTAGCCACTCTGGCCCATTGTTGCTTGCCGGTGATGCTGGTGATGCTGGTGATGCTAGTGACGCTAGTGACGGCGGGCGATGATGCTGGTCTTTGGACGAGTGCAGAAAAGTTCGCCTGACTGACTGACTGACTGACTGACTGACTGACTGCCTGACTGACGCTAGCAAGAGCTGTGTTATACATTATAAACTTTACCGGCCCATCAGCAACACTTGTACACACCAAATGTTTTGTTTGCCCAAAGCTTTTTGCGCATGCTTTATTGAGCAGGTACACTGTGAACATCGTGTAATCGTTCTACCATTCCTTGAACAGAAATGCATAAGTCAGCTAACCTACTTTTCAGTACAGTGGTGCTAATTGAAATGATGACTTGGCTCCGTGTTTTTTTCCTCTCTTTTCTTTCAGTTGCTCCACCGGCAGTGGTGTTTGGATCACTCAGTGCCAGCAATACCACAACCGGCCCGGTCGAGTCGAGTATTGTGCTGAGTTGGTCAGTACCAGACACGAATAGCCTGACTCAGCCCATCGACAATTTCACCGTGGAGTACTGGCTGAACGGTTCTTCGTCAGAGCCAAACATGGCCTCGACTGTTGTACCACCTGTAAGTGGTTGTCCCCAGTCGTGTTACACGGCAAACCAGTCCCGAGTCTACTAAGCAGTGGGATAAAATGATTCTGGCTGCCCCCAGTGCATTTCTGAACTAAAAAAAAGGCTGGGCTCACCTGGGAAGATTCACGATTGGTTTCCAATGTGCTACATCACCGCAGTCGATATTGTCACGAATTGTGACTGCTTTGAAGACAAAATGTTGAACGGCCACTGCTGGGGTGACGACCACTCCATAGCTTAGAGTGGCGGAGCATTGCTAGCCGTAAGCGAGGGTCCCTGGTTCAAGTCCTGATGGTGACAGTCAGTTTCTTCTTCAGCCTTTCCCCGTTTTCAACTCCTTCAAAACTTATGAATGCTCAATATTTGCAGGTGAAATTCCTAATATGCCTATGTAGAAAGGAAAGGGACATATGGATACAAGTTAAGAGTAGCTGTCCATCACTGCAACTAGATACTACCGTACTGGCAATATATGTTGCCGCGTAACGCGTAACGCAGGGGGGTGCGGCGTAACGCGCGACCAGGCTAGTGCGACAAATTTTCGTTGAGTTCGTAACGCGCGTCCGGCGGGGTGCGGCGATCTTTTCATTGCAGTTTGCACTGCAAAAAAAAAGGCTGAAAACTGTGAAAGCACGTGTACCATTGTGTACCTGATAGTTAAAATATACAGTCTTCTATTGATATCGTTGTCGCCCTTTGCCGTCGGGTTTGTAACAGTTGGATAGCAACTGAATTTCTGTGCCTTCAATGTGGATGAAAAGAAAAAATGATGCGGCAAAAGCAAAAAAATGATGCGGCAATAGCAAAAAAGTGATGCGGCAATAGCAAAAAAAGGACTGCGGCAATATAGAAACCTGTGTAACGGCTCCTGTGCGACTTTGCATGTAACGCCCTGCGTGCGGCAAACATGTGCCAATGTAACGCTTCATGGCCTCACTGCGGCAACATATATTGCCAGTACGGTATATGCAGTCAGAAAGTTCAACACTTACTCTTAACTTGTATCCATATGTCCCTTTCCTTTCTACATTTCTTATTGTCTCAACATCCGAGTATTATCCCTGCGTTTCTATTTAGATTGAGCTCAGCAATCTTTTACCTGGTGAGGTCTATTTCTGGAGAGTGCGAGCAGAGAATCAGGCAGGATCCAGTAGCTACTCTGCTGTGGAAACATTCAAGACTGGTAAGATATGCGTTGCTTGGCCTACGCTTGTCTTTCGTAGCTGTTGTCTTTTCGTTGCTGAAACGGCACAGGGCTACACTATTGGTGGATAGCTGTGCGAAATCATGAGTCTGTTCCTGTTTTCCTGTGTATCGTATTAATATTAATATTAAGCTACATACTTGTCTTACGCTGTTTTTGTGCAGGAGGAACGCGTATCGTTACTACCATGATCAGCGTTACTACGGACAGTGGTACTACGGACAGTGGTACTATGAACAGTAGTAGCATAAACAGTAATTCCACGGACAATGATACCACGGATATTAATACCAGGGATAGAAATGCCACGCACTGTAGGTGACGTTGTCTGTGTTCTGTTATTACGAAAGCTGCCGGCGTACTTCTTGCTCACATCGCGCTCATCTCCGCTTGTCCTTGCTTCTCGTCACCCAACTCATCCACCTCCTCGAGATCACCATCATTCGTTCGCATCACCATCACCATCACCGTCACCACAATCACCTTCCATCTCATCACCATCAGCCCCCTTCTCCTCCTTCTCCTCTGTCTGGCTTGCTTTCAGTCACTTTGATACTGTAAATATACAAATTTTCGGCAGCTATTTAATTTCGGCTTTATTCAGCACCGACCCAAAACGCCTAAATTAAAACGCCGATGAAATTTTTCACAGCATCTGTCGCACTATACCATGCCCTCTACCCCACGCCGAAAATAAATCGCCGCCAAAATGTCAAAAATCGTGAAGTGCCGAAATGTTGTATATTTACAGGATCCACTACTGTCTCCATGTCATTCAATCATCTATTACGTGTATTCAGCACTTTTGTCTTGCTCGCCTTTTGTAGCCTACTCTTCAAGTCATTCCTTGGCCACGAGGACGCAGATCAGGAACTTTCAGCTGCATGAGGCAGAGCAGAGAAATGGGTGTTACCATACACACTTCTAAGAACAATGAGGACGAGATAGCAAGTTACAAAATACACCAGCCAATTCTTACTCACATCACACTCATCTCCTGTCTTCTCTTCACCCAACACCTTCACCTCGTCATCGTCGTAGGTCTCCTCCTTCTCCTCCTCCTCTTTTTCATCATCATCATCATCAGCAGCAGCAGCGCCATATACACGGCCACCATCCATCTGATCTCCATCAGTCCTCCTCCTTCTCCTTCAGTCATTGCCTTCAGCCAATCCAATATCCATTATTGGGTCCATGTAGTGTATTCATCTATTGCATGTTTTCAGTATACTGTAAAAGCAGAAATTTTCGGTGGTGTTTTATTTTCGGTAACTTCGGTGCCGACAATTTTTACCGAAAATAAAACGCACCGACATTTTCGGAACAACCGATACTGTATACATGTAGTACACGTACACCTACCTGGAGAACGGGTTTTACCGAAAATTTCCCGCTACCGAACCGCCGATTTTGGCGAATACCGAAAATATTACACCACCGAAAATTTCTGCTTTTACAGTATATTTCTTGCTCACTTCTTGTAGTCTATTCCTCAAGCCATCCCTTGGCTGTGCATGCGCTGACCGGCAGTTTCTCCACGCGTAGTGTAGAGCTTGTGTATATAGTGGTTTCACATCTATCATGACCATCAAGTGACAGCCATGTTGGTTCCAACTCCACTCAACCCCTGCTTCTGTTTGTCACATAATTGTTGGTCCTGTTGTGGCATTCACTCTACATTGCTCATTCCGACCTTCAAGTTACGGACGCCCTTGGTTTACCGGGTGCCTTGTTGTTAGCGATAATGGTTATCACCCTGGCATATTAATTAAAGACGTCACCATTTCCACAACACTCGGCAAAAAGTAGTAATATTTCCACTAAACTCAACAAGTAAGTAAAGGAATAGCTTGTAAGAAAGTAAGAGGAAAAAGAGGAGGTGTGGCAAAAGGGGAAAATGCACGGTGCAAAGACAAACCCCCAAGGGGTGTCGCGTGTTACCATCTGCCATCTCAAGCTTGAAGGCCTCTTGTCAATCGTCCGAGTGGGGAGATGGCATGGGGCTGAGAATAGTAAGACTGTAGTTGTGAGCTTAGACAAACCTGCCTTGTTGTGATGTCTTTGTTTGTCATTCAGCTGAAAGACCTCTGGATCAGAAGAGCCTTATGTTCTATGGCGAGATCTGGTTCTACGCCTCTTGCGGTGGTGGCGGAGCCTTGCTTCTAGTGCTCATCATCGTCCTGCTTTGCTGCGTGTGCAAGAAAAAGGAAGATCCAGGTAGGTCAACCTGATCATGACAACAGAGTAGTTTTCTCTGCATATATAGCAGCACTGCTCCATGAAATCCAACCAAGCGAGTCAATGCTGTGCAGCCCTAGACCTGCCAACACTGGGATGTAAGCGCGCACAGGGCACAACCTTGATTCACATGATTGGATTTCATTGAGCGCCACTGTACATTGAACATGCCTCGTCGCTTCAAATTAAAACCGAAGCAGAACTCACTGTGCTTCCCTGTGAGGTTTTCGTTGGGTTTTGCATCTTGCTCGGGCTGCTCTGGACTTGGTTCCAGATCCGACCAATCAAGTGCGTTCCTATAACCATTGCCGCCATTTCCTCGGTTGATTGTTGTGCGTTGCAGACATCTTTGATCCGGACGCGCCGAGCCTGAAGAACGACACGCGGTCCACTGGGGCTGCTGACTCTCAGCTTGCTTTTCGCACGGATCACATGGCCTTACACCAGACTAGTAGCACGACGACTACCAGCGGTGACTTCGGCGTACCTCCGGTACCAGATCCAGTGCACCTGGCTCAGTTGCCACCCACTGTACCCGCCGCCGAGTACCAGCATGCGTATGCGTTGAAGCCGCCTTCCAAGCACGTGTACCAGCGCCCGACCAACGGCAATGCGGCTTTAGATGGCAATAATGGATATGCGGAGCACTTCCAGTTCCGAAAAGGATCGTCAATGAGCAAGAGAGACCGTTTAAATTATACTACTGACAGCAGCACTAATGTCAGTATTTCGGACACTATCCTGCAATACCAGGAAAACTCATCTGTGTGATTGTCCCGACCTAACTCAAGCTGTACCAGTTCTGCCCGCTATGCTCTGTTTCACAGGAAAGGAGACATTTTGAATAGTGATAATGTACATCGAATTGAGCGCCTTATCGCCTTCCGTGCACTTAGTACCACTTCCACTTAGCTTGAAGGCGTGGGATTCTAGTGTATATTTGCTGAAAATCTAGTTAGATTTATGCAACAGTTTGCCTCTCCGCTGTAGCCCCGCATGATTTCCGCACAGTCTTGCACTTCAACGACACTGATCCATGTCCAACTTTCTCGGCTTCGTAGCACTGTTTAGAAGTGACACAGACTCTAGTAACCGAGCCACACCCGTCATCATGCTCACAAGGGATCTTGTTACCGCTGCAATGCTGTGGCATTACGTTTATCCAACCACCTAGCTACCAACGATAGCAAAACTAACAACTAGTCCTAGCGAAATATATATTTTTGTCTACATAGCGATTTGTATTGGCCATGATAACCGTGAATGTGCCGGCATGTACTTTTTTTTTTTTTTTAGATCAAGTTGACCGTTTCTATTCTACCCTACTTGGTCCATGCATCATGTAGATCTCCTGTGCAGGATTAAAAAAAAATATATATATATATATATAATTTTTTTCCTGTCAGCATGTCTAGAATTTCTACGTTGATTTCATTGTGCATGCTATTTTTGGTTTAGCCGGCCTGCTTGAGGTGTTATCAATAAGTTTGCATTTCTGTCCAGCTGTCCAGCGCATAGCCATAGGCCATCACCGTGAGTTGTGTATTGGTCATTGGCACAGTGTTTGGTTTGGTCGATTTCCGCCTTTTTTTTCTCGTCAACACTGTGACGGATAAAAAATATACAATGCACACGGTTAGGTCAGTCCTCTGTGTGTGTGTGGGGGGGGGGCTGTGTGTGTGTGTGGTTGCACGGTTAGGTCTGTGTGTGTGTCGGGGGGGGGGGGGGGGGTGGCTGCCTGCGTGTGTGTGTGTGTGTGGGGGGGGGGGGGGTGGCTGTGTGCGGGGCCGGCTTTGGGTACATTGGTGTTTGCGGCACCGGCGAGGAAGCACTATCTGACTATCTGACCGATGCCGCGATGGAGGTAACCCGCATGCTCTATGTACAGTACAACACTGTGACGGCCACATCGGACCACTATACACATCGGACCACTATACACATCGGACCACTATAATAAGTAGAGCACAACCAAGCCATGCACGAGCTGGAAGTCTCAGCTGTGCAATGTTATCGCATGAGCTGATTGTAAAGTAACTGGTGGTAGTGGATATATGGCAGAACTTGTAGCCCTTGGCTCTCCACCCAAGTTTAATTACAGATATCCCTAGCAAGTTTGGTGTGCACGTGGGCCCATACGGTATGTCCCCTGATTACATGAGCACAATGGGGAGTGAGTCATTTCCGTAAGTCATGCACATGTCCAATAACATGACCGTACATTGATACTACTACAGTACAAGGAAAAAGGGAGGCAAGTAAGTAGCCACTCAAGTCAGTCCCAGTTACTCCCAGTACTTTGAAGTGGTACATGGTTTTTAAAATTAAAATTAATGAAGATTGCAGAACTCTCGTGCACAAGTGTACATGTAATTCATCAATGTACAAAATTAACGTTATTATTATCAATGCAGTCCCCAATGGCCATCTGAATCTGGCTGTCGTGACAACTACATGTAACTTGAATCCAACCAATCCTAATTGGCATGCCTGTGAATGATTTTCTGTGCATGCCTCTGAGTCCTTGCTTGCTTCTTCAAGGGTCCAGGGTGATGTGTGACGGTTTCTTGTCCTTTGCACATGCCACCCATGCTGTGATGAGGTAATTGACTGTGTCCATTGAGGACTGTCGACTGCACCCACTTACTGACTGATTTTACCTGAAAACAAAATAACTCAATACTAAGTGTCCCACCTCATGCCCCCCCCCCCCCACACACACACACAATAATTATAATACAGCACCAGCAAGATTGGACTCTTGCTACTAAATGTACAGTAGGTCTGCAGCAGAGCACAAGCCAGCACACAGGTTGATCTCATGATTTGAGACCGCCATGTCCGTAGCCTTTCTGGTGACCAGTGCAGTGAATCAGTAAAAGCAACCGTGCTTCATACAACCAGCAGACAGTCCAATTGCTAATGTGACACTTCAAACATCAAGGGACAAATTTGAGAACAACAGAATTACACATGACTTTGTAATGAAACGAAATAGCTCAACGATCAAGAATATACTGGGAGATTTAAAATATATATGCCTGGCTATGATCTAGGTAGGGAATTGTGTACTGAAGTAAGAAAAGACGTCTATCTGGCTGATCCCAATGGCTTAAAAATGAAGAAAAAATGTTTCAAGTGCTTTGCCATTTCTACCGACGGCTACAAAGGAGAGAGAGAGTCTGTGTGTGTGCGTCAGTGTAACTGGAAGAGATCTCGAAGGAGCTGTTGGTATAAATAATTGTCTTCTATCTAAGCATTGGCTTCCTGTCTAAACTCAAGTATTTTTAGCACACGCTAACACACCGTGGCAAGGCCGTTGCTAGTTACTTCAAATGATATCGTCGAAATCTCAAAATTACAGTACGAGATCTAAACCCAAATCTAAATTCAGCACGTCAAAGAAACTTACACTGAAATCTGGCTAAAAACATCCTGAGTTACCTATAATTATGTTATAATGATATGGATGTCCCACTTTCGCACACTGCGACAACTACTGCTATGGACGGTCTGTGGAGTTGGGCTATCTCTTCATCAGAGTTGTGCATCTCTGCGGAGCTCGACCATATCTTCATCAGAGTTGTGCATCTCTGCGGAGCTCGACCATATCTTCATCAGAGTTGTGCATCTCTGCGGAGCTCGACCATATCTTCATCGGAGTTGTGCATCTCTGCGGAGCTTGACCATATCTTCATCAGAGTTGTGCATCTCTGCGGAGCTCGACCATATCTTCATCAGAGTTGTGCATCTCTGCGGAGCTCGACCATATTTTCATCAGAGTTGTGCATCTCTGCGGAGCTCGACCATATCTTCATCAGAGTTGTGCATCTCTGCGGAGCTTGACCATATCTTCATCAAAGTTGTGCATCTCTGCGGAGCTCGACCATATATTCGTACTTGGTACATGCTAGTTGTGTTAGATACGGCATCGCTGCTCGTGAGACGGGTTTAAAAGACGGTCGAGGCGACACCGCTGGTTGCTGCGGGGCGTTCCTGGGGTGGCTCAGCATCCGAGAACGGATCTGCTCCTTTCTCTAGGCCGGTGACGCCAGACATTTGGTTGCTCATGACGGTGATGCGGTTGGGAATCATACCGGTCGCCTTGCTCCTGCCCTTGGAGTCGTACAGGGTTGCTTCCCAGAAGTTTGGCTTTTTCGGCATGGTGTCGATGACGTGTAGCAGGGATCCCTTGGCGAAGGTCAGCTGCCACTTGCTACTGGCCAGGAAAGCGAATTTAGCACGGTACCAAACTGAATCGTACGGCTGCTTGATTGCTTTGTAGCCGGCTGCATCGTTCTTTACGGTGATCAGCACAGACGTGGTGGACTGGCGAAGGCAGGATGCAGCCATTTCCCTCGTGGCATTGCTCAGGACTGTTCCATTCACTTCCAGTATCCGATCACCGACTTGCAGTCCACCGCCGGACGTTTCTCCGTGACTCGCCGACGCATCGGTGATCTGGGAGATGAAGATGCCGCTCGAGTTTCCGCCTTGAATGCAGAAGCCTAGTGTGCCGCTAGTGGGATTACGCGACAGCACAACAAAGCGTATGGCAGCGTTCCGTTGGCCATCTCCGGTGCTAGTGGAGCGAATAGCCAGGCTGCGCACGCTGTCATTGCCACTGACTCCAGCTTCAATAAATGAGCTCGTAGCTGAACCAGCTGCCACGCTGGAGGAGCTCTCGCTGGAGTTGACAGAGTTGTTGCAGGAGCGGCGTTCTTGCTCCTCCGCTTTGCTCTGTGGCGGCAAACTGCCTCTCCGTGGCGAGTTGTGCCTTCCAGCTGCCGTTGCTCCTGCCTCCGTGCTGTAGGGTGCAGTGATGTTAGCCGGCATGCTGCGCGTCTTATCATCAGTGCTCGGCGTAGACTCGAACTCGTCCACGTTCGCTTCATTCCTCGCTCGGCTGCGCTGGATGGCCTGAAGTCGCTGTTCACCTTGCTTGACAGACTCCAGCAGCGGATTGCCTTCAGAGTTGTCTTTAACGGACTCATTGCTGCTACTGGTGCCAGTATTGCTGCTGGTCTGGCCCCCGGTGGAGACCTGACTCATCGGACTTGATTCAATAGCGGATAAACGAGAAAATCCTGCGGCCGGAACCTGGTCACTTCCACTGTTCAGACTTTGTGTCCGTGATCCACCGCCACCTCGGGATATTGCCGGAGCGACCTGGGTGTAGGATTTGGAGAATTTGACGGCGGATGCGGTGGTACTAGTTGGTGCTGATGATACACTGGCTGTGGTAATGCGCGACTGGTGATCACCACCGCTGCCAGAGCTGCTGGTGCGCGAGTGAATAGAGGAGAGGACGCCGCGGTGACTGACGACGTGGCGGTCGTGACTGTGCGGCGTGTAGCGTTCGTTCGACGACATTGTACCGTGTCCCGACGACGGAACGTAGTCACTGTCATCCAGAGACAGGCGCTCGCCGGCACTGGGCACCATGTTGCTGACCGAATCGCCAAAGTACGTGCTCGGCACGCCAAAGCTGGACGGCACTGCGCTGGCTGGTGGTCCGGTGCCGCTGCCCGATCCCATGGATCTGGATCGCAGGGCGGCGCTGAACGGTCTGCGGACGGCCACCAGCGTGGGCCTGAACAGGGTGAGGCGTATAGGATTGTTGCGCTTGCCCGTCTTGATGCTGTGCGTCACACGGCCTATCTCTACGTTGGTCACCGGCATGTTGTCCACTTTGAGAATGCGATCGCCTGGCTGAACGTTGAACTGCTTGGCTATCATGCTATTGCTGTCAGTCAGTCCGGTGACGACTATGTGGCTCTCCAGCTGGATGCCATAGTCTTTGTAGCCTTGCAGACGTACCTCGAACGGCGCGTTCTCCACTTGCCGTCGGAGTACGATCCTCAGCGGCGACGTAGCTTCTCGTAGCATGGTGGCTGCTGAAGCCTGCTCGACGTGGGTCAAGTCTTGATTGTTGACCATGATTAGGAGATCGGAGCAGTTGAGAATGCCGTCGGCTGGACCATCCTTCACTACATCGACAACCTGGATGTACGAGCCCAGCTTCATATCAGGATTGTCCTGACCGCCTCCGATCGTGAAGCCCAGCTGACCATCCAGACCCTTGCGTATCTGCACCTCTCTGGTCGCGTAGTCGGCCTGCCAGTACAACGCTCTCTCGTCCAGCTGCGACTGATAACAGTCGCGCAGCGCACGGCAGTTGTGCAGCTCCTTGGTGAGATTGTCCACTTCGTGGCGCAGAGAGTCGGCGTCGCGCATCGTCGCCACATGGTCACTGACTGCCTTGTCACGTGACCGCTGCAGCTCTGTCGTGTCTGCCCGCGCCATGTCACGCTCGTTGATGATGCGAGAGCGCTCCTCGAACGCCCAGTCGCGGCTCTGCTGGGCTTCCAGCTTCTCCTTTTGTGCATGCTTGAGATTCTGGTCGCCTTTGGCAAGTTCAGCTTTCAGCTTGGTGATTGCCTGTTGTGATGTTGCTAGCTCTTCCTTCATGCCATCCATATCCTGTTGCAGGCGGTAGCTGCGGCTGATGATTGTTTCTTGTTCCGTCAACGAATCGGCGCGTTCTTTCTTGGCTACTAGGCACTGTTGCCGGAGCAAGTCACACTCGTCAGCCATTGCTTTCAACTCCTTTTTCAATCGCATCAGGTCCTGGTGCATCTCCCGCGCACTGTGCGGACCGCAGCTGCCATCGCTATGTGAGCCGTCCGAGCTACTGTTTCCACCACTGCCGTCACTGGCCCCGCGACCGTACATTCTGCGGCACTGCTCTTGCAGCAGTCGTTCCTTGGCGGCCAGGCGACTCCGCAGCTCCTGGCACTCCTCCCTGGATGCGGCCAGGTGCCGTGCAGTGTCCTGGCGTTGTTCAATGGCCGTGTCCCGTAGCATACGCATAGCCTCTACGGCATCCGCACCAGCTAACTGTGTTGAGGACGAACTCGCCGAGCCCGTTGTATGCTCCTCTTTTACCTTTTCCAGGTCTTTCCGAGCCTCGTCCCTGGCACGATACGCTTCATCGCGTTGCTTTAGCAGTAACATACTCTGATCCATTAGGTCATCTTGCGCATTCATGCTTTCCAGCAGCTGCTGGCCAAGTTTGTAGACATCAGCTTTCAGCGTTCCCACATCGGCTTGACTTTGCTCGTACTGTTTACTGAGCTTAGCACCCTGGCGCACAGCTACCGATAAATCATTCTGACATGTAACTTCGGAGCGCTGTGCCTCAGACAACTGCCGTCTACAGCCGGACAACTCGGATTTCAACGCCTCCAGTTCCGCCACAGTTTTCTCTTGCAGCCGTCCCAGCTCATCGAGCTTAGATTGCGACACATGCTTGGAATCCATGGCACTTGCAAGGTCTCGTTGCAGTCGCGACACTAGTTCGTCCATGATTTCCCCTCCTTCCGCACTGGCATCGCCTCGGAAATTCCCATTGAGAGGCACCGGATCGGAAATGCCAGCTGAGGTGGTGTAATCTGCGGAAGACGCTGCGATAGGGACAGGTGTGTATCGCCTGTGCCGCTGCTGTGTGTCTTCCAACCCGTCGATAATACTCTTGTTCAAAGACCCGGCGATTTCGTCCGAGCTTCCAGCAAGGTTCAGGGGCTCAGGCGGAAATGAAGAGGTCCGCTGCTGAGCGGTGTGTGTCGCCACGAAGCGCTCACTCGGCGCAACAAATTTCTCACTCCGGACTGCGCTGGCTCCGCGAATATGAACCGCATCTGCAATGGGCCGAGCGCTAGCGTAGGTTTCCGCTGAGTCCTGCCGTGACGTGGTCTCATGCAGCGGCACTGATGCCGAGTCAGCAGATCGAACACAGTCACCAGTCCTACCCAAATCTCGTTGTTTGTGAATGATGTGGTGATGGGCAGCTGAATCAGCTGAGCGGATTGTCTGTTGATCGCTGGCCTCTTGATGATCTTGCGTCGACCGAGCACACTCAGGGACTGAATCACACGCTGCACGCAAACTACTTTGACCGTGTTGATGATTGCTAGTGCGATCTGATTCTTGCGACATGGTGGGGTGTTCGTAGGTCTGCCTCCATTCCCATGCGCAGTGAACAACAACTGCAGTCTGTAGCGCAAGAACCTTTTCAACCCAACGTCCCAAGCCAAGGACAGGTGCTCAGTCTCAGTCAGAGTTTTGATGCTGACTTGACTAAACGTGCTGCAACTCTTTGTAGATTTGCTCGGTCCAGCAATGCAGTGGTGACCTGGTGACAGATTTACGAATGTCTTGGACCGCCGCCTCAAACTTTTTCCAGCACCCACGAGCAGTGTGTGTCGTCAGCTCCAGACCTCCGGGGCCTGTCACACTCTCTGGCATTCAGGACAGCAGATCAAAGTCAGCAGCATTGCAATGCAGACGGAGTCTGAAGGCTAACGTCGTTTGCGTGCAAGGCTTGACAGCATCGTCAAATGCCTGGCATACCCATTTCTTGCCGGGGTGTGAGAAAGCGCCATAAAATCGACGGGCAGGCATGATGCACTCGGTCTTCCGTCGTTCAGTGACTTATGACGTTATGTGAAAATCGCTAGCATGCACTTCGCGGCAAAGCGGAAGGAGATCAATCTAGCTTTGTACACCCCCAAGCGGATACACAACGTATGCCCCCCGGATTTGATGGGCGATGAAAGAACGAACTTAGAAAAAGCAATGAACCCCTTCTCGGCATTGCAACGCTTTTTGATTGTATTAGAATCGTTTATTGTTGTATTGAAAGCATTTCGCAAATTGCTTTGGGGTTTGGCGATCAATCATAGTGTCACGCGGGGAGAAATGTAATGTTACAGATCATGTAGAGTACAGTTAGCTGTGTGCGTAGTGTGTGCGTGCACAAGTAAAAAAATACCTGCAGGTCTACATAAACATGCGAGCGTAAGCGCCTCGAGCTCGGGGTTGTGTCTAAGCATCTAATAATATTCTAAGCTTGACTACATTATAAAAGGTGTGAATAGTTTAATTAAATAATTACTACAATGCCATGACAGTGCAGGGTATTGGTGAAAACTCCGAAGCCTTTTTAAAATTAATTATTATTTAGCTCAGAGATTTCCTAGTGACTGGCACGCTTGATCGTGACAAGCATACGTACAGTGATGATACGCAATCATTTTGCCCCGATTTCACAGCTGTAGTGTAAGGGACACTTTGGGTTGAGAATATCCGCCATTCCCGCAACTCATTCAAAGCTTCAGAATACCCGAGCCGTGCCCTCCACTCCAGCCTGTACCACATGTGCGTTGTGATTCGGTAGTGCCGCACACAGCCTTCCAGAGCCAACAAGTAATTAGTTAGTTCATTTCGCTGTTGAGTGTTGTCGTTGCTTCTATCAGTCTGTTAGCTCGGTCTGAACCTACCCTGCCGTGGGTAAATGATGTCAATTGTGCAACAATTGACTGGAATACAGGAACACTTCAAAAGCCCTCCAGCTTAGCCAATGCCAGCCAATGGACTGTTCCCTTGCTATACCCTTGATTGTCTATCCAAGTATTGGCCTCATCTTTATTACACCAGTCGGACTCAGCGAGACTGGACTGCGCCAGTACTACATGATTGTATAACAGTGGCTCAAGCGTGCGTTCATTCATCCTGGATCGCAATCCAAGAGCTACATTGTATATGTGGGTGCTTCAACATTTACCAGCAGCTGGCGGACTATTTACCCACCTACTTGGTACCTTTTGAGAAACATACAACACAATAACACAAAAGACAATCGCTTATCATAATGGAAACGAGTTATGAAGCAATTATCCACGACTGTAACAAGATAATAAGAAGGCGGTTGAATGTCTGAGTAACATGTCAGTTTTGTGCCCTGTTACATGTAATTGTTATCGCACTTTCTGACTGCTTAGTATCTTGTTACAGTCGTGGATAATTGCTTCATTTTTTTAACGTGAAGCAGTGATAACGCCATAATTGCCCCGAAGTAACACGTTACAGTGTTTCTAGATACGACAGGACTGTAATAACAACGTTCCTACATACATAATAACAGCGTTCCTACATACACAATAACAACGTTCCTACATACATAATAACAACGTTCCTACATACATAATAACAGCGTTCCTACATACATAATAACAACGTTCCTACATACATAATAACAACGTTCCTACATACATAATAACAACTTTCCTACATACATAATAACAGCGTTCCTACATACATAATAACAACGTTCCTACATACATAATAACAACGTTCCTACATACATAATAACAACGTTCCTACATACATAATAACAACGTTCCTACATACATAATAACAACGTTCCTACATACATAATAACAACGTTCCTACATACATTTACTCTACTAGTACAATGTACATTTGTGTAGACGCCTGCGCTGCAAGACTGTAAAGTTTTTTTAACAGTTTATACCAGGGAGTAGTAAAATACATTGTATTTTACTACTCCCTGGCTTATATACCGGTACATGTACTACCGGTAGTTGGCCGGAGCAACACTACGAGTGCGACTCGTGTTGTACAGTCATGTAGACTTCTACGTATTGTTCGGTTTTGTTCAAACTGACATGCCTCTCACATAATGCTATGGAGCACCGTGGGTGGCATTTGTGCGCAATGACCGCTGCATTGTAGGGGCTGGGGACAGTAGGTGATGCACGCGTTTTGCCCGCTGCCAGACAAGCTCAAGTCGCATTGTGCCGATTCCCACATGGGCTGACAATTGACATGATTGTGATGACAGTTCTCACAAACTCTTATTCTTCCCGGGTCTACTTCGGAGTCTTCCAGAATGAAATACGTGAGCAATGGTCACTGGGGCTGTGCGTTGTAACTAACTCTGTTACATGTACTTATGGTGGGCGGACATCGACCATCCACGTTCCGTATCTACCCTGCAATACATGTACGTGCGGAGCATATTGGTTGCCGTGGGGTGAAGAAACACACACCTAATCCTGGACCAGTCGTCCAGGCACCCAAGTCTCCACCGACCGGTCCGTCTAGCCAAGCGAGTGAGTAGGTTGGGTTCGAGCATTGCTATTCTTTTTCGGCTGTGCAATGAGCATTGAGCTCAGTACCACAAGTCCTCCTACTGTCCTAGATCACGCTCTCAACGTGACGGAGAATGTGGCTGTCGACGTTTTCAAACCTTTGCAAGGACTTGGTGAACAAGCTCTAGTCCTGTCGCTAACTGTTGTCAGTCTAGATTTCCCTGCGGCCAGAGAATGTGCAAAATGCCACCACTACCTGTGCCGAAGTGTGGTGTTGCCACGCGACAGGACCCAACCTCACATGTGATACATTCTAAACATGTGAATCGCAATGGGTGCGTTCACCTAACTATTTGCTAGACACCACGTGACCAGGTTTTCAGAGGACAACCGATATTATACATGACTGTATAGTAAGTTAGTTGTTGGAATGCGGAGATGACGGACCGCGTCATGCAATCCACCGCAAGTCTTTGGTATCGTTCTCATCATCACGCGTCCGAGCTGTGCAGTGAGCAAGCAACCCTTACCTGTCTCCCCGAAGCATTCCCTCCACCAGCACTATCAATGATTATAATTATGCTCTCTACACCATGTACACTGATGGCACACAAGCCCCTTGACTTTCGGAATTGCTGAGTCTGTTTTATTTCCTTGTTTCCTCTACCGGTACATGTGTACATGTACTGGGTACCTTTTTCCCTTTCTCGACGACATGAACATGAACATGAACTTTCTTCGAGTAGAAGATCCCCTCCACAGGCCAAGAACCTCTGGGTTATCCCTATATTAAAAGCACAATAAAATAAAATAACAAACTCTACAATGTCATAAAATGTACAATCATCATTATACATGTACATGTACATGTATAATGATTACTAGTATGTACACGTCATGTACATGTACAATGTACATGTACATGTAGGTAAGGAAGCTAATCGAGGTTGCTTTTCCTTACTATGTAACAACATTCCAGTTTAATACCTGGAAAGTCTAGTGTTCCGGAACTACGCACGATGTGCTGGGGAAAACTACCATCAAGTTCGCACTGCAGCACTTCGAAGTTCGCCTTCGGGAGTCGCGACTACAGTAGAGTAGGTGGACTAGCCTCATGATTTAAAAGTAGGATCATACTGAGAGTGGGGATCGTGGAGATCGATGTTTTTGGAGTTCATCAACGTTGAAGTACACGGTGGGGTAATGGCTCTATGGAATTTTTACTGGCTCTGTCCATTGGACATTGAGCACTGTAAGCAGCCTAGGGACTTTAGACAACTGTCTAACCTCCGGGTTATGTACTCTTGCTAATACCCACAATAAAGGGAGAACGTTGCAAGAAGAGGAAGAAAATTATTGTGCATGGACTTGGTCGGAGGACAACCAATGTACTTGTACGTTGCTGGAGTGAGGAGATGAAAGCATTATATTCCACCCTGAAGTGCCATGCAATATGTTTTGGTTTCAACTCACGAATGGCCTATAACTTAAAATTCCATTGCTTGTTTCGAATCCACCCCAGCAGCACCCCAACACCGCGAGTCCTGTAGTCAAAAGTTGCCTCATATCCATTTTGAGATTACAGATGTTGTTATTTTACGTGTTCGTTAGCCCTATCAAACACATCGGACATCGCAAAGGGTACCATAGCATTAGAAATACAATGGAATTTGATGTTAGGCATCTGGCATGCTTAAAAATACCCATGGCGACATGTGTGGACGTGTACAGAGGAATGCACAAGCACTGCAGTAATACATGTACATGTACGCATGAAGGTTATTAGCAGGAGAAGCAGACAAACATTATTCTAGTCAGATTTTGCATCATCTGTCGCTATTTCTAAATGCAAGTTGTTTTCAAATTGTATGCATATACATGATGTATCTGCAGCTGAACATAATATGGCACAGGCAGGACTAAATAGTGTATACAAGTACATGTACTCTTTTTGTCCAAACGGACCTGCGATAAATCAATTTAGCGAATAATATAAGGCTGTACTGATCTGGTCTGGTATGGTTGTTGACACATGCGTGACATACATGTACATGTAGATGTACGATGTACATGTATTTTTCAAGCATAGCAATATGGAAGAGACAAGAATGTATCTCGCACGTTCATTGTGTACTTGCACACAGTGTAGCTCCACAAACTGGACGAGCTGTGGCAGTAAGAGCTAGTGACTGTTCTGCATGGTCTCCTGCGGGAAAGTTGCTTGAAATGCTGAAGGTGATTGTGCGCTCAGCTAATGTACATGTAGATCCTGATGGTGTCACCTTCATATTCTGTGTCAGAATGAACGAAAGAGCATCTCTGGTTATCTCAAAAGAGTACGGTACATTTAACTTTACAGTTGATTCATTCACCAGACGGTGGACGATTGAAATGTGACTACCGGTAGTAGCAACACTATCATACTTGTCGATCTTCCTTATTGGCGTCTCCCCATCGTGGGATAAAAGAAAAAAAATGTGAGAAACAATGTATGTACTATGATCATTTTCAAACATTATACAATGTAGGAGGTGAAGGATACTTGAAGGCAGATTTAACGTGTGCAATAATAATGCACACAAGAACACCTTTTCATGACATAGGCTGACAATTTGGTGCTAGGACTGGGACTGGGAGCCTAATCTCCATCTAAAAAAATACTTCAGTAATTTAATATTTGTAGAAGAGAAAAGGACATATGGATACGAGTTAAGAGTAACTCTCCATCACTGTAACATGATACTATATACAGTCAGAAAGTGCAATAACTAGGCACAAAACTGACAGAGTACTGAAACATTCGACGTCCTGACACCTAGCTTCAACACATCTCCGTAGCGCTAACCGACAGCCTTCCAACTTGGAAGGTTCAAGGTTATGGAAAGACCAAAGAGGGGAAGAGGTTTTCGTTGCGCTTGCCTTCCCCTCTTTGGTCTTTCCATAACCCTTGAACCTTCCAAGTTGGAAGGCTGTCGGTTAGCGCTACGGAGATGTGTTGAAGCTAGGTGTCAGGACGTCGAATGTTTCAGTACTCTGTCAGTTTTGTACCTAGTTATTGCACTTTCTGACTGTATATAGTATCATGTTACAGTGATGGAGAGTTACACTTAACTCGTATCCATATGTCCTTTTCTCTTCTACATTTATTTATGGCTCAACATCCGAGTTTCTAATTTAATATTGTTTGATCTACATTGTATTTCATAACATTACCTTCTCGCTCTATGGAAGTATTTATCTAGCTATAGCAAGTACACTCTGCATCCAATCTATCTCCTAATGATAAACCCTTCCTTTGGCCATATCTTTGTGCCAGTCTCAGGAATATTTCAATGTGTACTACTAAAGCAAACATCGACACGACCCTTGATTCCCAGCAAGTTAAACATTACTATAGGCTTAGGACCTCGGTTTCTCACTCACCGCTACTAGACTGCTGGATACTCGTTTGAAGTTTGAAGAATCCGCTGGACTTGATCCCGTTTCCCTGTGTATAGTTAGGGTGAAATTCTGCCCAGAATTCCCGACTCCATGCAGCCACTTGGATCGCTGGAGATTTGTATGTATATTCGTCATGAGGCACCATGAGATAGTTGAGTCGTTGGTGCTGTTGCTCAGAGATCCTGCGCATGTTTGAGTATGCCTGGGCCATTGGGCAGGAAGCATCATGTAGTGCTGACGTTGTGTGTGCACCATGCCTTCGAAGATACTTCTCGGCTTCCACAAGTAGTGAGTGAAGAGATTGCCACGAAGATAGGCCAGGCAATCCCTTGAAGACTCGGTGGTGCTCTCGATGGAACATGGAGATGCTTGAGAAGAAGAGGGGAACGGCAATTCCAGGTTTTGATATGTATGTCCAGATGGTGTGATATATCTGATACCGTTTGGATTCATCACTATGATGTCGTGCCAAATTTGTGACTTGCTTTGCAGTTGGTCAGTCAGCCTGATTGCACTGGACAAATCAGGAGCATCAGAGGTCGATGGCCTTCGTGCGATACTTTTGATACGCCTTCTCAGGGGCCGCTTGCCCTTCGAAGTCCTGGGTTCGTTGTTGAAGATCATTTGCGCCTGGCCAGAGTAACTGCGAGCTGCTCCATACGTCATCACTGCAATACTGCCGGCAGTGGTGGGTGATGATGTTGTGACAAACTCCCTCATGACATTGCCTGCTGCCACAAGGAAAGCGTCCGTCACATTCAGGGATGTGTCAACCAGAAATGTAGTGGCCTCTCCAAAGCATTCCCGAAGCACCTGTATGCCAGTTCAAACAACACGCCGAAACAAAGTTGAATAATTTTGGCCATTACGAAGGGAAATTGAATTAGTACAGTGAAACCTCGTTAAGAAGAACACTGATAAGACAAACTTTCGCTTTAGAAGAACTAGTGTTCATAGCTCTATTGGATAAATCAATGTGTATTCACTGGGTATAAAATATGGGGGGGGGGGGGGAGAACTCCTGTTATTACGAACAAATATCATCGGTCCCTTGGTGTTCGTCCTAAAGAGGTTTGACTGTACATGGAAACGGCACTAAATATATACATACAGCCAAACTGCTGAGTGTGATGTAGAGGAATTGCAGCCTGTAGGATCCTACATAGTGGAACTCGAACTCAGAATCTTCTATCGATCCTCTGTGATAATGGCCAGGTCGCCAATTCCTGCACGCCCACTTTTGAGAATCCACCCACTGCTACTTACCCTGATTGTGGTACGTGGACGAAAGGTTCCCTGAGGCTTCGATGTGGTGTTGATCAGAGCGTCCAGGTCAGGATGATTGCTGAACGGGAAAACTGGTCCTTCTTCATTGGCGCTATTAGCCAGAGATGACTCAGTCTCTTCATTCTCGACCAGTGGCTGCATACATGTAGTCGCAGTGAAACAAAAAAGACCTCTGACTTTCCCTTGCATACCTCTTGTGTACATTGTACATGTAATGCGCTCTGCCCACGGTCATTTGAGCCCTATAGCAGGTCAATACCCTGTATAAAGGCTAGGGTCCGGCGGATTCTGCCGGCAGAAAAATTGGCAGAATTCGGTACTTTTTCTGGTAAGTTTCATGCATGTTTGGTATGTTGATAAAAAAATGGAGCAGAATTCGAGGAATTGCCCGCCATAAGGTTTGTATGGTTCTGCCAAATTTCACTGCTTTTCGAGCAGAATCTGCCACCTTTTTTCCAGCAGAATCCGCCGGTGCACTGTCTCTGTGAAACTTCGTTGTACAATGTAATTCTGGTGAAGTACAAGTACATGTACAAGGAGACTGCAACGACATCACATGATCACATCCAATGCTTTACACATACCGGTAATATACCTATAAACACGTCTATAGACTATTGTAAAGAAAAAAAGGACCAAGAAACGAGTCCATGAACACATCTCCCGGATATCATGCAGCGGCAGTTCAAACTACTAGTACTAGTACTAGGCTTTACACGCATGCATTGCCTGGTACTGGCCCCATGATATTATGATACTGATGGCTAATGCATCGACTTAGCACCATGCGAGGACTGATGGAGGTGGTGAGAATGAGAGCTCTGTTCCAGAATAACTTTGCAGCTTAGAGAGCGTGTGTGGGCAGGTGTGTATTTACCGCTATATTGCCAGGTGTGTATTTACCGCCATATTGCCAGGTGTGTATTTACCACCATATGAATCAACCATAATGCTACTGATCACGGTAAACTAACAAAGTAACATGCTGTGTACTTACATCGTTGTCCTGGATGATGTCATTTGCAATGGGACTCAGGATGTTTGTAGCAGATCCTCCATTCACGGGAGGTCTTGAGCTGCTCACTGGCAATCCCCAGCGTAGCTTGGCTAGACCAGCCAGGAAGGTGCGCTCTGAATCGCAGTGTGGCTGCATTGCATTCAGATGCCGGTGCCAGCACCAATGGAGACGACATCCCGACATGTGCGACCAAAACCAGAAGAAACAGGGTTTGTATAAGATATAAATATTATGATGTATGGCGTATGTCCAGACAGTCGCAAAAGCTTTTAAAATCTACTTTAAACAAAATAAAAAATAAAATATATGCGCATTTTCAGCCAGAAGTTTGTTTCGTAACGGCAGATCACCATTCAGCACGGAATGTGCCGGACACGCGAATCAACCATCTACATGACTGTATAAACGTTGGTAGTTCGTTGACCATTATTCAGGTCGAACGCAGAAAGGTTACCTGATAAAATAACGTGATGCATACTTCGAGTAGTCATCAACACGCTCAGTAGGAAGCACGCAGCTCCAGTCCTTACATGCACATTACGTGTAGGTCGATGGTCTGCAGCCCTGGGGGTTTGAGGTCAAGTAAGCGGTTTTATCCTACTACATAGTATTTACCATCGTAGCTAGATCGGCACACACTGGACAAGACAACTGATACGTGATATCAGTATAAGCTGTGACTACCCCAACGTTTCTTCACCGATGTGTCTACTGGTCCCTATCATTAATTGCCCCTCCTCCTTTCTACTTCTTTTCCCCTTTGTACATGTACATGTAACTCATGCAGTGACAAAGTAAACAGAGTTGTGTTTGACGTTGAAAAAACCGGCGTTTTACCCCGACGTTTCTACTCTAATATTTCTCCTCCGTCGTTCTAAGCAGCAAAGCGATCATCGGTAGACTGTCTACAGTAATAATGACATACATATACGTCATGTGCATGTAAAGGGAAATCTAAACTCACGTTGCAGCTGGTCACCAGTGAGAGTGGCACACGAAGAATCTGCCTCTCCAACGAATGGTTTCCACTCGCATGTTCAACCTCCTGTAGCTCAACATCCTGACCGTCACCGCATACACTACTTGTATCCGCAATCTTGCGTCCGGGTACTATGGTAACCGCATGGTGACCGAGATCCGATTCCCCGGCGCATTGGAGAGCCTGCTCCGGTAGGTTGTCGCGTGGCCAGTGGAAAGGCAGGAAAATTCTCACATCGTCAATGAAGGCGCGTTTTCCTGTTCCAGCGTAGAGGAGGCGAGACGAGCGACGGATCAAAGACACCATTCGTTTCAAATTTCCTACATGTTCGGCTTTGGGACAACCCTGCGGCGGTAGAAGGGTGTCAACTTCGTCCAAACTGTCGTCAAGCCTAATGTCAAACCTCAATCTCACTAGATCTTCTCCTCTTGATGGCGTTGCGTGTGCAATGGGGCACGTTATGGCATAGAGGGTGACCAGAAGCCAGGCGAACCACAAGGCTTCCTTTATCACAGGGAGTATCATGAATCCCTTCATTGTCTGAGCGTCTCGTCTTCGGACAGGCAGTGCTTGACGTTAGAACTCTAAACGTTTTCTGTTTCTAAAAGGCTTCTTACTTTCTTCCCGGCTTCTTTCAACTATTCCGGTATTTATACCCTTTTGTCTGAAAGGAAACAGTTTCACCTTACCTGAGTCATCAGCACCCACTACTGCATACACACACGCGCGCGCGCGCGCACACACACATACACACACACACACACACACACACATATACCATTTGATCTCCCAACACAATTCCCCTGTTGGTACAGCTAGAGTCGTAGAGAACGGGCAGCAGACGTGATGTTGCTGATATTGCTTCGAAGCAGCTAGGCTATTACCGTCTCCAACTCCACCCGAGCCGTGTAGGATTGGTTCCATGAAATAGTCTGAAATACAGACTGCGCCGCTATTGTATCCACGGCTGACGGTTGTGTCCGGAAATAGATTCAGGACGAAATTTCGGATACATGTACTGGTAGGAGCTGTGTTGGTGCGCATACATGTACATGACTGTACAATCTGCGCATGTACTAGTCCATTTCAGCGAGGCCTTATTATTACACCAGCTGCTTACATGTACATGTTCGTACTTTGACGTAGTGGTACTGTCATGTTCGTGTATGTGGTACATGCACGTGTACGTGTGGCTACTGCCTGACCGACGTTCATGCAATGATGCATGCCGCGCGGCGCGCGCGCACTTCATCAGAGTTCATGCATACTTTGCGGTGAACCAGCACGGTTTCAAAAACAATGGGGGGCTGGTGAGGGTAGTGTAGGAGTTGGTACTGGGTGTGCCAAGACAAGTAATGGAGCGCTTCGGGTTTATGAATAACATGATAGTGATACTGATTATCACATGTCATGATGAGGGACAGATGTCTGTCACTCAGCACGACATCGGTGATCGCCTTGCAAATTATTGCAATAAGTTACGTAATATTTGTTTGAAAGACCTTTGCACAGCAGGTAAGAACTTTTCCGCTTGCCTGTATGATATTGTGTTTTGTTCAAACTCTTACCTTTGTGAATACATTACGTCATCATGTACAATCAATTACATGTACATGTATGTACACTGTATGTCCATGACAGTCTGTTTACTGACACTGAAGCTTGACATACATCATTACATGTACAAAGTAGATCTACCTACATGTACCTGCGGAATTAGGAACAGCTGCAGGGAGAAAACTCTCGACGTCCCAGCCCAGATATTCCATCAGTCACAATCGCAGGAAATGGGCGTGTAGGGCACAAAAGACTCCGTTCTGGTCAAAGGTCACAGGAGGTGTGCATCGGTTGTTACTGCTTCCTGGTGATAGCAACTACATGTACATGTACATGACGATGATGATTGTAAAATGTAAGGTTAGCCGGGGGCTAGATACTCTACAATCATGTACACAATCATGTCCATGTATTTAGTGTAAAGAATTAGTATCTGGTCGGCTAGCCTTGTTATCTTGAACGTGTACATGTTTGAAAAAAACCCGCTACATGTTCAATATTGGCCACATGTGCACAGGTCATCGTGAGAAATAAAAGATTTCATACAGTAGAGTACATTCAGGTGGAATACTAATCTTGGTTTGTATTCCTTAGCTGCCATTATTCGTGACTCGATAATCAAGCAAGTCGAATGGGACTTCCTCTGCGTACGCCGAAGGGGGAGTGGATAGCATCAAGAAGTGTGATGTGCGACTGGAGATGAAAGAGTGTAGTGTTCTTCTAACCGGCGTCAGTCTCTTGGAATAAACATGACATACACACATGTGCTGTTTATCTCCATTCTAGTTCAATCAACGTGCTAATGCACTAGTACTAGTCTCTAGTCCACATGCAGGCAGCATAGCAGCGCAGTACTGCAGTGTCATAATAACATTTAATAATTATTTATGTCATGTCTGTGTTATCCATGCCATTGCAGCGTTGTGATGCTGATCATGTCAGTGATGAGTACTAGTATTATTCAACCACTAGTAAAATACAGGCCAAGAGGCAAGATTGCAAGAAGCTTTCCGGACCTCATATTATAAATAATAGCGGAGCGTGTGTGAACGACGGAGGGTGAAACCTGGGAACAGGGCATCAAATCATACAAATGCAGCTCAGACAGTTACCGTGAATAACAGTACTGACCAGCCTCAGCCTGTGTTGTATCGTCTACTACAGAGTACTACCAGTATACCAGTACAAGTATCCGTAGAAGTCATGTACCCTCAAACCAAACATACCAGGTACACGACACCAACGCACATTCCAAAGTCATAATAATTGTAGATGTACACGGTCTTTCCCTTGTAGTCGGGATGGATGTAGTGAAACCGACCGTGTCCCGTTACCTGATGAGGAAGGTAGGAACGTGGTGAAGGCAAACAAACTTGTCAAACACGAACTAGTGCTTACCTTATCATGGGTATGTCATAGAGGCGGACAAGTGGTGAGTGTGAAGCTTATGAGATAACATCTGGTTACAAAATTCCAATCATCTTCGCCCAGCCTAGCCATGCCCAGGCAGTAGAGTGGGTGTATCGGTCCCTTTCTACTTTACTTCATGTACTCAGGGCGTCACAGCGTGATTCCATAATAATAATAATAATAATATCCCAGAAATGGGCCAGAATCCCTGGCGACCCGTACCCTGCTATGCTGCATGATGCAATGACGGGGTCGACCAGACACTGACTGTGAAGTGTGATAGCATTGCATACTAGACTGCATAGTTCGGGCTTCAAATGGCTTGTACTTGTAGCTTGTAACTGTTTATCATATCAGTATCAGTATCACCATCAACTCCTATCCATTCCGCCGCCATTGTACATTGCAATACACTGATGTACATGTACATGATTGTATACTACGATTTTATGATGTTGCAATTGGTCCCCATACAGTTATGTTGATATTGAACCTACTTTCAGGAAAGTATTTGAATTATTGTATTTGATAGATTACTGTCCGCCATGTCATGGGTCAACCATCTCGGTGCGTACCTGTATTGAAAGGAAGGTGATTTTGGGGAAGTGACGGTATTCCATAAGGTGAAGTTGCTGTGTTAGTTGACCAGATGTCCAGACTCGAGTCGAGACACTCCCTCATTTCGTACTCGCGCCAGCTGTTCGCCTGCTCCACAATGACTCATGAATGAGCGTGCGCTGAATCGGACAGTCTTTTGCAAGTGATAAATCATGACAATCAAACTCACATATGGCGACTCAGTCACTGGATATCGTGTTTACTACTGACCTTGAACTGTTACTTACTAATACAGTACTATAGTGTAGTCCGTTCGCGAAGGGAAAGGAAAGAAAGAGATAATACCATTTGACGGGCAAGAGTTCAGTTGCTAAATCAAGCAGTACGCACCTCCAGCCTGGGATACATCCAGAGAGGATTTGCAGTACTACATGTATTTATTAAATCTTAAACCACTGATGACGGATAACGTAACACAGCTCTACCGACGCGCTCCTAGATCCTGACAATGCCTGCATCAACGCCGAAACCTAGAAGGAACAGTCCAAGGAGGTAGGAAGAGTCTCAATCTCAACTCCTGTAAAACACACGTCAGCAGTCGTGGAGTGGTTTTGTGGGATTCAGGGAAATTCCACAGGCTCATTCGTGTCACTTGAAAGGAGCACACACTTCAGCAGTTCAGGTTCTTCCACAGCCACATTTTCAAAGGTATTCACGAGGATACTTTCAAACCTTCTTTTCACGTAGATTACAGGCAAGAGCAAAGGAAGGAAAAAATGAACAAAATCACAGTCACCACTTCCGCTGCATAGCTCGCTGGGTATCCCATTGCTTTGTAAGTTGCTAATCCCTTCCCACTTTGTGTACGTGCTCTTCATTTTCTTTTTTCTCTTCTTCCGTGGTTGGTCTCACCCTCTCCTCAATTCAATTGGCTGTCTTGACATGCCACGAGGTGCAGAAATAAATATATAAATAAATAAATGAAATAAGTACAGCAGATACATGACATGTACATGTACATGTAGGTGATAGAACAGCGCAAAGGAGAAAAGCTAAAAACAACAAAAACAAAACGCGTTACCCATACCCACACACATACACATACATGTACATTGTACATGATTGTAGTGGTAGAAAGAATGACAAAAGATGGAAGAGAGGGGAATTGGCCTAACAAGCTCATTCGTCTGCTTCGATGTCGCCGAGCTTATGCCTAGTCATCATAATATCTCCTGCAGTAGGCTATAGCTTTTGCCGCGCGCACTCACACACAGCCATCACCCAGTTCAGCAGAAGGAGACGATTTTAAAAGCACTGCCCCAAGTCTTTAAAAGTTGGAAAAGATAAATCGTCGCTATCTCTACTAGTATAACGTTCATCACACGAGGTACTGCCACAGTGCTTCATCAAAACGCGAATCCCGGACAGCATTATCATAAAATTTTGCTTCCTCTGCATCACGAAGCAACAGGAAAATGGCAGCTCCAATGGCCAGGGCTACCTGTCAAGGCTTGAATCTGGGGGTAGGCATTGGCGGATAATGCTCGAAAGGTGGCAGATTCTGCTCGAAAAGCAGTGAAATTGGCAGAACCATACAAACCTTATGGCGGGCAATTCCTCGAATTCTGCTCCATTTCTTTATCCACATACCAAACATGCATGAAACTTACCAGAAAAAGTACCGAATTCTGCCAATTTTTCTGCCGGCATTATCTGCATATGCCTATCTGGGGCAGATGATTGCCGCTGAAAGCCAACGTTACACCTACACGATGTACGAT